CCTCTAAAAGGCAGTGACACAAGTGCTAATCAACCTTTCAACCTGGAAAAGTTTAACACTGTCACCAAAAATTTTAGGTCCATTCGTCGTTTCATCGCAAGATGGAGACGCTTCATGGAGCATTCCTTTTCACCTGCCGAACTAGCCTCTCACGTGGAACCCTTCCGTTACACGGACAGATATCTCAAAGCTCAACTGACCAACACACTGAGTAAGCTCCAAGTGACCAACTCAATTGCTGGCCCCACCCCCCATTTGTCCTCCTGTCCAACCTCCGGGGATTCCATGATTCGCACCAAGTTTCAGGTAGCCTACATACCTATACTTCTGCAGTGTAACAATGGATAGAAAGTGGTACTGTTCACGTTGCTGTCTCCAAGCTTCTACTCCTAGGGAATTAATCTAATCTAATGCTCAGCCTTCTTTATTGCCGCATCATACCTTATCTGCCTATAACCAACATTTTTCTCTTTTGCATTGTATTTGTTTGTACAGGCATATGTGCCCTTTTTACAAGCACTTTTGGCTGATAGTTTGTTTATTGAGATTGTAATACTGTTTTTACTTGGGAAAAAAACTTCAATAAACATTTAAAAAAAAACAGTAGTACAAAGCACACATGCAAACAGGTTTTTTTCAAGCATGACTGGCTTTGCAAAATTACTAGTAATGCTCAATGCAAAATAAGATTCTTACTACTTACCTTTTTGGGAGATGAACCCTAATTTTGCTGTTTTAAAAAGTTATGCCCACTGAAGATTTTTAAGCATCTGACACACTTTTGGAGGTGTGTTGGATGCTTGGTCCCGTACTTTGTTCTATGGTTCCTCCTGGTATATACATTACTACTGTGACCTGTAGTGGTCCCTTGTCTTGAGAAATATCTTTTCAATGTTGCCCCTTGCTTTCAACATCAGTTTATACATTCCTTTCATTGATGTCCCTTTACATTGTCCACTATTGTATTGGTAAATGTTATCAGCTAATGTACTCTTCTCAGTTTTAGATTGCATATCAAGGATAAGTTCTATCCTGACCTTAATGCCTGTACACACATTCGCTTTTTTTCATTGAACCCAGAGGGCTGAACGAGAAAAAATGTAGAGATTGCTGTACTAACTAAGCAATGTTGGTGCAGCTATCTCTCCCGCTGTGCTTTTGTGTTCTCAAAGGGAGACTCCCCCACCCGCCAGAAACCACTAATCAGCACTCGCAGCCATTGGCTGTGAGTGCTAATCGGATGCTGATCTTCTAGCATGTCCCTTTGACAAAAGCCGGTCTTTAGACTGACTTCTGTCAAAAGGACAGCTGTACACATGGTCCAAATGCCAGCCGGTTCCTGCTTTATATCCAGCTTAAAGTGTTACCAAACCCACAATAGTAAAATCAGTCTTTATATGCAACATGCTTGTCATACTCACTGTGTAACTTAAGGGGTTAATCATCTGCATTGTGTAAAAAGGCTGTATGATCTTGTCTTCTCTGATCCTCCCCTTCTTCTGCTTCTTCCATCTGCTGATAGTACAGAGCCGTAGGAGACACTCTGCACATGCTCAGTTTGGTGTGTATTGCTAGAGGTTTTTTCATCTTGGGAGAGTGCATGTGATCAGCACAAGGCCAATCAGCACTGTCCAGACAGGGGTCAGGAGTCCTGTAGTCACATTGTTATTATTATTATTATACAGGATTTATATAGCGCCAACAGTTTGCTCAGCGCTTTACAATAAAACGGGAGACAATACAGTTCAATACAAGAGGGTGAGGAGAGCCCTGTTTCCTTGGAGCTTACAATCTAAGAGGGAGGGGCTAATAACATAAGACAATCAGGGGAGAATAAAAACTCCTCCTACAAACTTTAACCAGTGCTCAGCTGGACACTGATAAAAGTCACAAGACTGCTCTAACGGGCTGATGAGAAAAGGTACTTAGCAGGTGTGTACTAGAATAATTGCATTTCCTTTTTCTGTGAAACTGTGGGATATAGTGAATGCAGGGTCCTGGGTTTAGTAACACTTTAAGGGGTCCATTTGTTCTATCAATATATAACTTTGAACAGGGCACCTAATTTGATATGCAAAACCTGACATAAAGTAATTTAAAAAAATAAAATTGTATTTGTTTTATTTTTCAGGGTAAGAACATTGCAATAATTTGAAAATACTTGGATGGAGCATAAAGAGGTGAAATGGTGGGTGCTGCCTATTGCTGTCGTTCACATTCCTTGTACTTCATTCATCACTATTGTTTAGAATGGGGCCTATTTGGTTGTTTTGAGCAGTAGCTCAAGTTTCGCTATGGCCTTTTTTTGCTTCAGCTTTTGAAAATTATCCTCAAACAGCAGTTGTCACATTGGAAAAAAATGGCACAAAAAACGGACTGTGGCATAGAAGCATTCCAGTTATAAAAAACGTTGCTGCATTCCAGTCATAAAGTCTTTGAGCTCTTCAGGTTTTAACGTATGCTGCATGATCCGCATTTAAACATCCCTTTGATGGAAGGCCTCCCCTAATCATGATGTATGTGTCAAATCCCTGGACAGCTACACTGACTGCATGGGCACTAACAGGTCAGCATTCATGGATGTAATTACAGTGGGCACTGGAGGGGGGTATGGTGTTGCTTCAATTTTTCTGAAAAGGTGAACTTACACTTTTACGAACAACTGTGTAGCATGCGGGCTGGCTTGATTAGCTATATCAAACAAATTGCTTAGGCAGGAATTTGCTTTACACAGGTGTGTGGTAAATCAAATTAATTTGTACAGTCAGTTTGCAATGTGTACAGTTATCTTAGCTTATTTAACTTATAGTCAATTGCACTTATTTATTCAATGCCAGCAGCAATGATGTTCAAAGTATAGTGATTTTTGGTACTTGTCTGTTAATTCACCAGATTTATTTATATATATATATATATATATATATATATATATATATATATATATATATACAGTGGGGATCGAAAGTTTGGGCACCCCAGCTAAAAATTTGTATTAATGTGCTTAAAGAAGCCAAGGAAAGATGGAAAAATCTCCAAAAGGCATCAAAGTACAGATTAGACATTCTTATAATATGTCAACAAAAGTTAGATTTTATTTCCATCATTTACACTTTCAAAATAACAGAAAACAAAAAAATGGCATCTGTAAAAGTTTGGGCACCCTGCAGAATCTATAGCATGCACTGCCCCCTTTACCAAGTTGAGACCTGCCAGTGTCATGGATTGTTCTCAATCATCGTCTGGGAAGACCAGGTGATGTCAGTCTCAAAGGTTTTAAATGCCCAGACTCATCTGACCTTGCCCCAACAATCAGCACCATGGGTTCTTCTAAGCAATTGTCTAGAAAACTGAAACTGAAAATAGTTGACGCTCATAAAGCTGGAGAAGGCTATAAGAAGATAGCAAAGCGTTTTCAGATGTCAATATCCTCTGTTCGGAATGTAATTAAGAAATGGCAGTCATCAGGAACAGTGGAAGTTAAAGCAAGATCTGGAAGACCAAGAAAAATATCAGACAGAACAGCTCGCAGGATTGTGAGAAAAACAATTCAAAACCCACGTTTGACTGCACGATCCCTCCAGAAAGATCTGGTAGACACTGGAGTTGTGGTACACTATTCCACTATAAAGAGATACTTGTACAAATATGGTCTTCATAGAAGAGTCATCAGAAGAAAACCTCTTCTACGTCCTCACCACAAAAATCATCGTTTGAACGTTGCAAATGAACATATAGACAAGCCTGATGCATTTTGGAAACAAGTTCTGTGGACCGATGAGGTTAAAATTGAACTTTTTGGCCGGAATGAGCAAAGGTACGTTTGGAGAAGAAGGGGCACAGAATTTAATGAAAAGAACCTCTGTCCAACTGTTAAGCATGGGGTTGGATCAATCATGCTTTGGGGTTGTGTTGCAGCCAGTGGCACAGGGAACATCTCACGAGTAGAAGGAAAAATGGATTCAATAAAATTTCAGCAAATTTTGGATGGTAACTTGATGCCATCTGTGAAAAATCTGAAGTTAAAGAGAGGATGGCTTCTACAAATGGATAATGATCCTAAACACACCTCGAAATCCACGGGGGATTACATCAAGAGGCGTAAACTGAAGGTTTTGCCATGGCCTTCACAATCTCCTGACCTCAACATAATTGAAAATCTATGGATAGACCTTAAAAGAGCAGTGAGTGACAGACAGCCCAGAAATCTCAAAGAACTGGAAGACTTTTGAAAGGAAGAATGGGCAAAGATACCTCAAACAAGAATTGAAAGACTCTTGGCTGGCTACAAAAAGCATTTACAAGCTGTGATACTTGCCAAAGGGGGCAGTACAAGATATTAACTCTGCAGGGTGCCCAAACTTTTGCAGACGCCATTTTTTTGGTTTTCTGTTATTTTGAAAGTGTAAATGATGGAAATAAAATCTAACTTTTGTTGACATATTATAAGAATGTCTAATCTGTAATTTGATGCCTTTTGGAGATTTTTCCATCTTTCCTTGGCTTCTTTATGCACATTAATACAAATTTTTAGCTGGGGTGCCCAAACGTTCGATCCCCACTGTATATATAAATGCATATATATATATATATTTTATATATTTAAATAAAACATATGAAAAAAAATATATATATACCGTATATATATGTGTTTATATATATATATATATATATATATATATATATATATAAATAAATCCGGTGAATTAACAGACAAGTACCTGATTTTTTTTACAGTCACTCATATTTTACTTTGTGAAGTCCAGTCAGTGACAAGTGATAACTGATTGTTTCCTGCACCTTATATATCATATATATATCAGGTGCACAGCTTAGCTGTATCAGCCCTTACCTGTATGATCAAGCTCTTAAGCTGTGTTAAAACATTTTTTTATCATCTAACACAACTTCTCTATTACAATTTCTCTATTAAGATTGTAGATATCTTGGTTTAATACAAAATTAAATAATGTAAACACAGCAAGTTAAATAGCAGTGAAACTTTAACAACAAGGACAACAGCAGCACAACATCTTGCAAGGGTTTTTCCTTTTGTATCTAACAGCCAATTTAAACTTCTCGTTGGTCTTTTGGACATAGTCTTCTGTATTTTGCGTGGCCATCTCAATATTGTTCAAGGCTTCCCCTTGCTCCTCCACTAAGATATAAATTTGGAGAAAGAGGTCCCTTAAGTCCTTTATTTGATGTTCTAAGTTAACCAGCTCTTTGTGTCTTTGCTCAATTTCGTTCAATTGTCCTTTAGTGATGTTTACTTCTGTGAGCAGGTTCTCATTGAAGACATCCCATTTGCCTTGCTCCACCATTTTGTTCACCTCCTCCTCGCTTATTTCCTTCCCTGCTACCTCCAGTTGTCTTATGATAAATGTTTTACATTTTGATTGCTTTATAGCAATTGTGTCATTGTAGTGAAACATTGCCGTCTGAAAACTCCGAAAAAGTCCAGCATGGTGGGTCTTCAGAATCCTGGTTACACTGGATGACTGGCCAAAGTCTGTTTCTGCTTTTTTCACTTGTAGTGATAAAGTGTCCAGGCGGCTCTTAATATTCTCCGCTTGGACTTTGATGTCCTTTGTAATATTGCTTTCCTTCTTCAGAACACTGAATCTTCTCATGGAGGAGACCAGGACCTGCTGCTGTTGTCCAAATTTTACCACATTCTGTGAAAGCGCATTAATGTCATTTTGAAGTTTTTTAATGTCATGTAAGTAGCGCTCGATGATAGGCTCCCGTTCAAAGATGACAGCTTGCTGCTGTAGGTCTATGGGTTCTTCTCTGGAATTCACAGTTTCCTGGGATGCCTCAAGTTCTTTTGACCTTTGCATCAACTCTTGAAGGCGATCCTTCATTTTGACTCTGATGTGTTGAAGCAATCCTTTCTCTAAACATAGATAGCTTCTAAGGCCTATAAATTCAAATAAAAAAAAAGTTTTACAAATTTGCTTGAAAGAAGAGATACTCCTGTATTTTGCATCCCTGCTTGTTACAAATTATTAGGCAGAGCAGTTTTTTTTTAAGAGGAAAGTATCAACTAAGTACGTATGTTTGCTGTTAATTTAAATCACTTTGCCAGTTTAAGGCTACGTGACAATGTGTATCTAAAAAAAACCTGTCCACCTCTGACCTGACCTATTGATGTTCACTTTTTCAGTGATTTCCGCACAGCTCATTCCCTTATCTCAGCCACCACCAAAATACATGTTGCTGGCTGATATCAGAGTCTAGAGAAACCAGTGATTTCACCTCCTCGTGTGACAGTGCTCAGGCCTAACACTAGACCCAAGCATTGCATCAGGGGAGGAGGTCACATGCCACCCATACACTCCCTAGAAAATGGAAAAGTTGCCCAAATGTTTATGAAATCTGTATTTTCAGTACAAATACATAAATTGCCAAATATATTTAGCCACATAATTACATGTGTTTACAACAAGCAAAAAACGCACAATTCCAACATTTGTAAATAGGCAGCACACTAAAAACCTTTACAGTCCATTACTTTAGTCTTAAACCTAAAGATTATAAGATTGTCCTTCTACTTTTGGCAGCATGCGAGGGGATGCAATAAGGGTTTGCATATGTACAGTATGTCCATTCAAATTATGTGTGTTTATATTTTTATTCAATTTCATAACGATCACAAGGGAGTTAAAGCGGAGTTCCGTCCCCCACTACCTCCCCCCCAAAAAAGTTAAAAGTCAGCAGCTACAATACTGTGGCTGCTGACTTTTAATAGTAGGGCACTTACCTGTCCATGCATCCAGCGTTGACCTCAACCCATGCAGATTCTTCAGTCGGCTGTTGGGTCCTGGCGCTGCCGTCATGACTAAGGGAAACCAGCAGTGAAGCCTTGCGGCCTCACCACCGGCTTCCTACTGTACTATGGTTTGTGAATGGATGGCAGTCCTCTGGGACCTTGAAAGTTCCCTAGAGAGCTGCAGGAGGTGCTGAAATTCCGGCTGAGTTTGCCACGGCAAATTGAGCTGGAAATAGGAGTGGGTACCTGTCAAAAACCAAGTGCCTGCCTCCCCCTCTCTCCCCCAAAAGGTGCCAAATGTGGCAGCGGAGGAGGGGGAGGAGAAATAAAAGCAGAGCTTCCACTTTTGGGTGGAACTCCGCTTTATTAAGCCCCAACACAATAGAACAAATGCAATAACAGGTGCTATGTATGGATACATAAGAGGTCTATTAGACCCCTGACATTCCCTCTACTTTCAGCACATACAGATAAGATTGTCCCTGCTCTGTGGCTCAGCCAGCTACTGTTGCCTGGGCACTAAGCCTAAAGCCCTGTACACATGATGGGAATATTGGACAAATTATCGTCCATTTTTTTTTTAATGCTAGTCACATAGAAAGTGAAGAGGCTATTAAAGTTACGAAAATTCTTGTATGACAGGAAGAAAAATCATAAATGATGTAATGTATTTGTGTTGTTTTTCCGGACAAAAACTGCATTGATTAAACGAAATTTGTACGATCTGGTATCTTACTTGAAACATTTCATGCTTGTCCCTCCAAACTTTTTTTAAGATGAAATCTGTGTACTAACGATCAGATTATTGTACGATTGCTTAAAAAAGCGGTATTTTTTTACAATTTTCTGATGGTGTGTACTAGGCCTAAAAATAAGATGTGTTCAGAGCTGAGCACTTCCAGGTTCATTTGCAAAGGGAAAACCAGTGAACAAAAGTTCACTGATCTTCTGCTACTCCCCACTCTGAAACCTCCTGCAAAAGTCCAGGATTTACAGAGTAACCTGGTGAGTCCAAGACGCCTAGGGGATTGAAATGGGGAATGGACCCTGCAGAAGCGGTCATGCAACACTTTACCCATATAAATTTTTTAGCATTTTTTTTTTTGAGATAGATAAAACTTTATTTTAGTGGTATTTATTCACCACTGGGATTTTTTATTTTGTTTTTTTGCTATATAAATGAAAAAGTACAAAAATTAAAAAAAAGTGTTTTGCTTATAAAAGTTTGCAAATAAATAATCTTTCTTCATAAATCTTGGCCAAAATGTATTCAGCTATCTTTTTAGTAAAAAAAAAACCCCCAAAATTAGTTTATAACCAAAAATTATAATTTTTCAATTTTTTTTTACATTTTATTTAATTTTTTTTATATTGTTATGTTTTTTTTTAACATACTGTCAACCTAGCAGTACAGTGTCACCATAGTGACACTGTACTACTTGTGGGGGGTGATGGAGATTTATTTATTTATTATTATTTTTTTACACTGATTGCTTTTACACCCATAAAGGCTGTAAAAACAATCATTTCTCCTTCTCTCTGACTGCATTCTTGCAGCCATTGAGAAATACTGTGAGAGCTGTGACTGGTCACAGCTTGTCACATGATACAAGGCTGTTGTGAATAGCCTCCTACCATGTGACCTCTGTGATCATTCATAGATTTTACAAGTAGTAAGCAATGATGTTGTCAGAAAGTGACATCTTGCTTACTACTATTCATGTGATCATTGATTGGCCATTCAGTGATCACATGATCGGGGCCTCACACAGAGGTCCCGTACAGCGATTAGTGTTCCGCTGTGTCCGGAGGACACAGCGAGCATTGGATCGCAATGCCGCGCACTCCCAGGGAGCGGGCACAGGCTGAAAAAGCAGAGGCCATTTATGAACGGCAACCCGCTCCTGCACTGCTCCCGTCCAGCCGTTTATGTACATGGGCTGAATGGGAAGTAGTTAAGCTGATCACATATATCTAAACATAGTTTGTTTTTTTTAATATGTTTACTGATATGTTTCCACCCAGTAGGGGGGGATGTTGGGGTAAGAGATCACACAGAGGTGTGGCTCTGTGTAATGTATCTGTTGGCCTGTGTAATGTATCCGCGGGCCTGTGTAATGTACCTGCAGGCCGGTGTAATGTATCTGCAGACTGGTGTAATGTATCTGCGGGCCTGTGTAATGTATCTGTGGGCCTGTGTAATGTATGTGCAGGCCTGTGTAATGTATCTGCGGGCCGGTGTAATGTACCTGCGAACCAGTGTAATGTATCTGTGGGCCAGTGTAATGTATCTGTGGGCCTGTGTAATGTATCTGGGGGCCTGTGTAATGTATCTGTGGGCCGGTGTAATGTATCTGCGGGCCGGAGTAATGTATCTGCGGGCCGGTGTAATGTATCTGTGGGCCTGTGTAATGTATGTGCAGGTCTGTGTAATGTATCTGCGAGCCTGTGTAATGTATCTGCGGGGCCGGTGTAATGTATCTGCGGGCCAGTGTAATGTATCTGCGGGCCTGTGTAATGTATGTGCAGGTCTGTGTAATGTATCTGCGGGCCTGTGTAATGTATCTGCGGGCCAGTGTAATGTATCTGCGGACCGGCGTAATGTATCTGCGGGCCTGTGTAATGTATCTGCGGGCCTGTGTAATGTATCTGTGGGCCTGTGTAATGTATCTGCGGGTCTGTGTAATATATTTGCGGGTCTGTGTAATGTATCTGCTTCTGCTTTTACATATGCAGGGCATCAGCAAATAGTTTAGACAGAGCTGTAGCTCTGAGTCACCTTTACAATTATGAATGAATAAGCAGTGCTGATCACGCATTCATGATAGTGACAGATCACTCAGTTTAGGGATGGGGCAAGGCCCTGTTCTGGCTGTACCTCCTGCTACTGAAATGCCTATAATTTGGGCTTCTAAAGGGGGTGAAGCCACAGCTAGCACTTACATATTCATTTTGGGACAACAGGTCCACCATGTATAACCACTTAGTCCCCAGGAGAGTTGAAATTTTAAACTTCTTTAAAATGTCAACCAGACCTGCTATTTGAGTGGAATCCCAGACATATTAAACAGGCTTAATTACAATAAGTTAGTTTTTTCCCAAACGAAAACCACATTCACAGTTAGAAATGTATTCATTCAAGAAACATTTTCTATCCTGCTCCTTCAAATTTTGTCATCACTGTGGGCGAAAGCTAAAGTCATTTACTAACCATTGGAAATTTGAACAAACTTTCCAATAGCAAAACTTTTCAAACAAAATTCTGTTGGTGTATGGCCAGTTTAGGAATGTTACCTGATGGGCTCCACTCATTGGGAGGGATATTTATTTAAAGGACAACTTTACTAAAAGTGAATCACAATAATTTGTTAGGTCCATGTGGTGTTATGTTGAAGGTTGGGGAATGATCCTAAGCCTGTGCAAATACTCACAAGTTGTATTTTAATACTCTTTTCTTTCTTCTGGAGTTGCAAATGTTAATTAGAATTTAATAAACTTGCAATATTTCTGCCAAACTTAAAAGTGAACCCACAAGGACAGACATTTAGGTGCCACCACTGCTAACTTACTGTTATTGAAGATACAGGCTCAAGAACTGTCATCCTGGTTTCGGCTTAACCTCCTAAATGACTCACTAGCCTGGAATAAGCATGCAGCCAGAAGGTTTTGTGTTCAATACTTAAACAAACCATCTAAGATAATTTGTGTTCGCCAGGCTAATTAAGGTGCAGGAAAGCTTGTGAATGCACATTGGGTTCAACCCTTCCCATTCCACTCAAATTCATAAAATAACACAGCAACCCAAACCTAGTAACAACACAACTACTTATCCTGTTACTAAGATTGTAATTTCTCTGAAACGTTCTTTAAAAGGTCATGTGAAAGTGAACTTCAGATAATGCTAAGAAATGTCTGGGACAATATCATTCCACGATTTAGCTCTATTGACAGCAAAGATTGAACTCATTCATTTATGTTTTTTATCACTTACATTTTACTTCTACAGTGACCACCAATGCAAGGGTGTACTTCACTGTGACCACAAATGTAAGGGGCTACTTTTTCACCGATTGCAAATTTAAGGGTACATCT